TGTATAAAGTCATTCAAATAAACCCCACCTTTACCCCCCATCAATCATTTTAACAACCAAAAATACCTGGTGGATAAAATGGCCACTTTGCACAACGCATACTTTTACTTTTGGTACGTAAAGTATTGTTTTTATGCTAATACTTTTTGACTCTTATTGAGGTTACATTTGAAAGCAAATAATGAGAGTACTTCTTCCCCCTCTGGATTGCTGACTCATTATATTCTTTGCTCCGCAGCTTCTTCCTGACGGACACCAGTTCCTCCTCTTCAAAGTTTCCAGTCCATTAGCCTGTTTAGCCCTGAGCCTGTTTTTCAGGTCTCAGGCTCGAAAATGACATTCCCAGAACAAATGACCATATCTTCCCTTCTAAAAGGGGTAAATTAATAATCTTTTTTTCTCAAAGTAATGATAAACCTGTGAGTTGGATGTAGAAAAGTCAGAACAATATAGATGTCTTTTATTTTAAAGAAAATTCAGATTTTACATAGTAAAAAACTGTAAATTATAGTGTCCGTCCAAAACATTTTTTTTACTTATAGTGAAAACTACCCTTGGATGATGGTAAGGTAGACTAAAAGCTTTAGGAATCCAAAGTACAACATATAATAAGTACCCTGTATCAAGATTGATGCAAAACAAGTGACATTTGACCTTTTTAGAGAGGTTTAGCAAAAAGAAACCACTTCTGGGGTCATTTGGGTGGATTTTCCATATCTCTGGCCCCCCTTGCTCGATTTTGATGGTTGACACCTCTTTCTGACCGTTAGAGCCAATATAATCTAAGGGGGATTCCCCCAGACACACACGTTGTAAAACGAAAAGGTGGGGGCTTCGCTCATGTAATTTTCCATCAGAGTGAACCTATCTCTAGCTTTGACATCTGGAAACGGAAAAGCAGTTGTAATGCTTATGGATTATCAGAAATCATTTCAAAGGGACACAGACACATTGGATTAACCTATGGATTAACTTCAGCAGCGTTTTTATCGTTTTAATGCCATTGAAGACCACTTTTGAGCAGACTACAGAGACAAGGTAACCATGTTAGCATTTTTAGCTACCTAGCGCCACATGTTTTGATGTCTGTTTTTGTTTATAACGTCGCGATTTAATATAATTGAGTGATAATGAGGGTACCCTTCGATTCTGTGTCACCTCACGATGTGAATCGATATCATGGATGTGCAGAAAAGATAAATAATAAGGTTTTGTGAGTGATTTTCGGTGCAGTAATCTGTTAGCATTTTTCGCTCGTTGCTAATTCAGAGGCTCAGCGTTAGCATTGTGGGTTTTATTTTTGAAAAATAAATAAGAACGATCAGTAAGATGAGTTTCTTCCCGTTACATGGATATAAAACATTCATAGTTTATTAAATGAACATGCCCTCAGACACTGTTTCCTGCAAGATGTTGCGGGAGGGCCTCGGTACCGGGGTCTCTCGGGCTTAACAGGTTAATGGCGCCTGAAGTTGGAAGAAAAACTCTAGCTCTGAGCCTGATGACAAAATCTAACGAAACCACAAAAGCTCTCTGAGATGGGAAACAAGCTTGTGTTGTAACATGTCTGCAGCCCACAGTGACAGGAAACACCAAACCGCTGTACAGAAACCTCTGGAGCAGAGACAACACAATACTGATCAACATTAAACACAAAAGACAAAACAAACGGATGGATTCACGTTGTATTTAACTGAAGACGTTTCAATAATCTCTACGTACTGGTTTACTTCACAGACTTGGGTTTGTTAGTGCTTTTGTTCTTATCTTTATAAAATATGTTTCTCTGTTGTTCTCTCTTGGTCTGTGATGAATTAAGGTGTACCACAGGGTTCAATCCTAGGTCCTCTCAGTTTATATTTACATGCTGCTTTATCTGAGGAATTGTCTTTGTTTTGCAGACAATACGTGAAGAGTCTGATATAATTCAGTCAACGTAGCAGCTGGATTTTCTTTTGTAAATTTAGGAATTAGTTTAAGGAAATTAAGTGATAAGAGATCACCAAACTATAACAATGATCACCTGCAGCTGATACAACATGCTGCTACCAGTCTGTTACCCAGGAGGAAGTGTAACTGAGAGAAGTGAAATACAGACCTAAGAGGAGACAGAGAGATTCAAGGAGGAGCTAAGATGTTCCTGAACTATAGAAGAGAGAGGAACTTCCATATTCACCAGAGTTCAACACAGACCATCATCATCACCTTCATTCAACATGCTGTCCCTGCAGAACTCAGCTTTTTCTCTGATGTTGTTTGCAATCTTATCCGGTTCGTAGATGGATACAAAATCAGTGTCAACGCTTTCTGAGTGTGGTTCTGCTAAAAGGACTTTTATAACATTAAATAACAGAGTTATTCTTTCCCTTAGGCGTCAGCTGTGAAGATCTGACTCCAGTCAAAACAGAAGAGTTCAGTTCAGAAGGCAGCACTGTTACTCTGTCCTACAAAGCTGGATCTAATGCTAATTATTACTTCTGGTATCGACAATATCCTGGAAAACCACCAGAGTTCCTCATCTCACACTCTGCTTCAGGCCAAGTAGGAACTAACCCAATCCCTGGACTGAATATTACAGTGACGAAAAAGCAAATGGAGTCAAACCGAATCAATATGATCATCTCCTCTGCTGCAGTGACAGACTCTGCTGTGTACTACTGTGCTCTGAGGCCCACAGTGACAGGAAACACCAACACTCTGTACAAAAACCTTTGGAGCAAAGACAACACAGTACTGCACAGCATCCACCAGAGGGAGTCTCTCTCTGTCAGACTTCAGCAGAGTTTATCAGTCCTCTTTATACTCGCTGTAGCTCAGAGTTTCTCAACTTGCAGATATGATGCATCTGATTATCTCAGTGTTGCTGGCTGCTATGAGTCTTGGTATGAACTCTTTGATATCAGTCTAACATCGAGATGATTCTCTAACATGGCCCTGATACTGTTTGTTGCTGTTTTACAGAATGCAGAGCCCAAAGAGACAACGTGCTGCAACCTGAAGCAGAAAAGACTGCTACTAAAGGAGAGGCAGTAACGCTTGGCTGTCACTATAACACCACTTCATCAAATGACTATCTCTTCTGGTACAAACAGCTCGGAGACAACAGCCCCACATTCATCCTGAGCCGCTTTAAGATCGGCACGGGGAAAACAGAGGACGAGGACAGATTCTCATCCACATTGGATTCAAGATTAAGATCCGTTCCTCTGAAGATCCAGAAGCTTCAGCTGTCTGACTCTGCTGTGTACTACTGTGCTCTGAGGCCCACAGTGACAGGAAACACCAACACTCTGTACAAAAACCTTTGGAGCAAAGACAACACAATACTGCATAACATCCACCAGAGGGAGTCTCTCTCTGTCAGACTTTAGGGAAACAACACAAGAAACTCTCAAACAATTCAACCCCCAGCAGAGAGCCATCCTTTATTTGATGCTTCAACACCACGCTACTTTAATTTATCTGAAACATTTATCCTAATAACTTTTTATGAGTGCAGTCCACCAGGTGCCAGACTCCTGATGGACCTTCACCAACACTTCTTATTTTTCATATTTATTCCCACTTGCCCTGACATCTGCAGTCTTCAAACCACTCTTAAAGAGCAACCTAGGGCAGGGGTCGGTAACCGTAGGCACGTGGCACGCGGTACCGTAACCAGTGGCACACTAGGAATAAGTAGAATAAGTGTGCAAAATATTTAAATTGTATTTTCGGATCCTGAACGAGACCGCCGCCAGAGCGCGTCTCCCCGTTACCTGCAGAAGGAAGACATGCACGCAACGCAGCGCAGAAGGAAACAAAACATTTAAGAAATCTAGACCGCAACAGAATTAAACAAGCGACTGCCTGTTTTTCCTGGCCATGTTCAGGTTCCTTGAACACAACACAAGCGTAACGTGTCATTACGGGGTATAGTGCTGCCGGAACGCGGCTCCGGCACTTCAAAAATTGCAGTACCCATAAGGAGCCCCATGAAAAGATAATCACATTGGTTGCTTAAACATTTTTTTCTTAATGTTCTCAAATTGTTTGGGCCCCTGTCAGTCACGGGCCCTCAGAATCGTCCTAACTTTTCACCCCCTTACGGCGCCCCTGCGTACACATGCCGCAGTTTTTGCGTGGCTGTGTCTTTAGTTGTAAGCCCAGTGGCATCTGTTCATCTGACATATGATCATACAATAATGCCATGGAAAATAATATGCTACATTACAGTTCAACTGTTGATAAACATCAACAGTTAGTGATGATACAGTAATGTTGTTTACCTGCTTGATCATTTGAAATCTGTGAACAATTTTACCATAGAAACACATGTACTGCCTTGATTCAAGTAATCTCCATGAACTAAAAATAAGTGTCTCTAATTTTCTGTCAGTCTGTGATTTGATGTGGTGTACCACAGGGTTCAATCCAAGGTCCTCTCACTTTGTCATTGGTTTCAGTTTATCTCGAAACCCAATGTGATCGTAGGTTCTATTGGAACAGCAGCTTGTGTTGTGGTGTTCAAGACCTTTTCAATGTTGGGTATGAAGTACAATTCTTATTAGATTAAGATCATTTTAAACAGATTTCTCTCTCGATGAAACACCTCTCACTAATCTGACTTCACGTTAACGCCCGTCATTGTTATTGCCACGTTTTCCTTCTTTACTGACTGATCAAACACTTTAAATCACCTCTCTCAATAAACTGGTACACATCACACACTCAAGATTTGATTGCTTTTGTTCTTATCTTTATACATTACAATTCTCTTTTGGTCTGTGATTAATCGTGGTGTACCACAGGGTTCAATCCTAGGTCCTCTGACTTTTTATTTACAGACTGCCTTTGGATCTGTTACCCAGGAGGAAGTGTAACTGAGAGAAGTGAAATACAGATCTAAGAGGAGACAGAGAGATTCAGGGAGGAGCTAAGATGTTCCTGAACTATAGAAGAGAGAGGAACTTCCATATTCACCAGAGTTCAACACAGACCATCATCATCATCACCTTCATTCAACATGCTGTCATTACACTATTATTTACATTCCCTACTGTTAGTTTCCATTCTAAGAGGTACGTAACATTCTGCATGAAAACGTTAACTTCTAATGTTTATCAAATGTGATCTATTAACTGAGTCTTTTGAATTACTCCTCTCTTCAGGGGTCAGCTGTGAAAATCTCACTGCATTACAGAAAGAAGAGTTCAGTCCAGAAGGCAGCTCTGTTACTCTGTCCTACAGATACTCCAAGGTTGCTGAATTGGATGATTATTTCTTCTGGTATCGACAATATCCAGGAAAACCACCAGAGTTCATCATCTATCATTTAGGAAATGGACACATTATGAATAATCCAATCCCTGGACTGAATATTACAGTGGAGTCAAACCAAATCAATCTGAGCATCTCCTCTGCTGCAGTGACAGACTCTGCTGTGTTCTACTGTGCTGTGAGGCCCACAGTGACAGGAAACACCAACACTCTGTACACAAACACCAGCTGACACACTGACAAGCTGCTGGAAGCCTTTTCTCCACACTGTTGTACTGAGCTGTTCACCTCCACTAGAGGGCCACATTATCAAGTAGGCGGTGCACGTCTTCTGCACTGTGTTCAACCATCCAGTCAATAAGAAGTGCTGCTGTGAAGAGAACCATCCTCACACTGAATGCTGAACATCAGCTACTTCCTGCTGCTGATTTAAACCTTGTTGTAGAGATGGAACATTGGCTGTGGATTATTCTTGCTGCTCTCTCCTTTGGTAAGATAGAAACTACAACATGTTTCGAGGTAACTGTTTAAAGCTACTGATTGTTCTCCTTTAATCCATCATCTTTATTGATTCATCTCTTCCTCTGCATGGTCTCTTCTTCCCCAGAGTGTAAAGGACAAGACACAGTGACCCAGCCAGCAGGAGATGTCAGCGCTACTGAAGGAGACACAGTTACACTTGGCTGCACATATCAGACAACTGACACATATCCCTATCTGTTCTGGTACAAACAAGAAGTCAATGGTTACCCAAAGTACATGCTGAAGCGTTTCTCAGGAGGTCGAGATAAAGCTGCAGAGTTCAAGGAAGACAGATTTGATGCTACACTCAACAAGACATCAGTTCCTCTGCAGATCTCCTCTGCTGCAGTGACAGACTCTGCTGTGTACTACTGTGCTCTGAAGCCCACAGTGACAGGAAACACCACAACTCTGTACAAAAACCTCTGGAGCAAAGACAACACAATACTGCACAGCATCCACCAGAGGGAGTCTCTCTCTGTCAGACTTCAGCAGTTTGTGATGATACAGTAATGTAATTTACCTGCTTGATATTTTGAATTCTATGTACAATTGTGCACTAACATACAAACACATGTACTACCTTTGATTCACATCAACAGGTTCAAATGTTTAACTCAATAAGGCAATCTGACCTGTTATCAAAGATTAAAGATATAATGTAGTCTCCATGAATTTAAAATAAGTTTTTCAGTTTTTCTGTCAGTCTGTGATTTCATGTGGTGTACCACAGGGTTCAATCCTAGGTCCTCTCACTTTGTTATTGGATTAAGTTTATCTCTGAGCACAATGTGATTATAGGTTCTATTGGAACAGCAGCTTGTGTTGTGGTGTTCAAGACCTTTTAAATGTTGGGTATGAAGTACAATTCGTATTAGATTAAGATGATTTAAAACACATTTCTCTCTAGATGAAACACCTCTCACTAATCTGACTTCACGTTAACGCCCGTCATTGTTACTTTTTTTTACTGACTGATCAAACACTTGAAATCACCTCTCTCAATAAACTGGTACACATCACAGACTCAAGTTTTGATTGCTTTTGTTCTTATCTTTATAAAATAAGTTACTCTGGTGGTCTGTAATTTATTGTGGTGTACCACAGGGTTCAATCCTAGGTCCTCTGACTTTTTATTTACAGACTGCCTTTGGATCTGTTACCCAGGAGAAAGTGTAACTGAGAGAAGTTAAATACAGATCTAAGAGGAGCCAGAGAGATTCAGGGAGGAGCTAAGATGTTCCTGAACTATAGAAGAGAGAGGAACTTCCATATTCACCAGAGTTCAACACAGACCATCATCATCATCACCTTCATTCAACATGCTGTCATTAGACTATTATTTACATTCCCTACTGTTAGTTTCCATTCTAAGAGGTACGTAACATTCTGCATGAAAACGTTAACTTCTAATGTTGATAAAATGGGATCTATTAACTGAGTGTTTTGAATTACTCCTCTCTTCAGGGGTCAGCTGTGAAGATCTCACTGCATTACAGAAAGAAGAGTTCAGTCCAGAAGGCAGCTCTGTTACTCTGTCCTACAGATACTCCAAAGAAGCAACTGGTGGTGATTATTTCTTCTGGTATCGACAATATCCAGGAAAACCACCAGAGTTCATCTTCTCTCATTTAGGAATTGGAGGAATACTTAAAGATCCAATCCCTGGACTGAAGTTTACAGTGAAGTCAAACCAAATCAATCTGAGCCTCTCCTCTGCTGCAGTGACAGACTCTGCTGTGTTCTACTGTGCTGTGAAGCCCACAGTGACAGGAAACACCAACACTCTGTACAAAAACCTTTGGAGCAAAGACAACACAATACTGCACAGCATCCACCAGAGGGAGTCTCTCTCTGTTAGACTTTAGGGAAACAACACAACTAATGTTCAAACAACTCAACCCCCAGCAGAGAGGAAGTGTAACTGAGAGAAGTGAAATACAGATCTAAGAGGAGCCAGAGAGATTCAGGGAGGAGCTAAGATGTTCCTGAACTATAGAAGAGAGAGGAACTTCCATATTCACCAGAGTTCAACACAGACCATCATCATCATCACCTTCATTCAACATGCTGTCATTAGACTATTATTTACATTCCCTACTGTTAGTTTCCATTCTAAGAGGTACGTAACATTCTGCATGAAAACGTTAAATTCTAATGTTGATCAAATGTGATCAATTAACTGAGTCTTTTGAATTATTCCTCTCTTCAGGGGTCAGCTGTGAAGATCTCACTGCATTACAGAAAGAAGAGTTCAGTCCAGAAGGCAGCTCTGTTACTCTGTCCTACAGATACTCCAAAATTATAGGAGCTACTGATAATTTCTTCTGGTATCGACAATATCCAGGAAAACCACCAGAGTTCCTCATCCTTCAGTGGGGAACAAAACCTGCAGCAAACTCTCGACTGTCCGTTAAATCGAATGAGGATAAAACCCAGATCAATCTGAGCCTCTCCTCTGCTGCAGTGACAGACTCTGCTGTGTTCTACTGTGCTGTGCAGCCCACAGTGACAGGAAACACCACAACGCTGTACAAAAACCTCTGCAGCTTCTCCCTGAACATTCACACACTTCAGATCCCGCCTTTTTCTGAACAACATCGCCATCAAGTGGACACCTCGAACAACTTCTCCTCTCAAAGTGACACACATCCAACCTCTGAGGGAGACTTCAAAGATGAAGAGCAGTCTGTCTGGCCTGTCCGTCCACCGGCTCCTGAAAGTGGATGAACTTGTTAAACTGGTCCTGACTAACATACGATTCACTGCAGTGTGAGAGGGAAAAGTTCATGGTGAAGAACAAGCGTTAGATTATTGCAGTGGTGTAATGTAACTAAGTACATTACTCACACTGTACGGAAGTAAAACATTGAGGTAATTGTACTTTTTACTAATTTATACTTTTACTTCATTACATTATGTAGGCAAGTGTTGTACTTTGTACTTCACTACGTGTATTTTACAGATTGACTGACATAGCAGATTTAGGATATTAATACACAATATAAATCAACACACATTATAGTATAGACGAAGCTACCCAGTACTGTATAAAGTCATTCAAATAAACCCCACCTTTACCCCCCATCAATCATTTTAACAACCAAAAATACCTGGTGGATAAAATGGCCACTTTGCACAACGCATACTTTTACTTTTGGTACGTAAAGTATTGTTTTTATGCTAATACTTTTTGACTCTTATTGAGGTTACATTTGAATGCAAATAATGAGAGTACTTCTTCCCCCTCTGGATTAATGACTCATTATATTCTTTGCTCCGCAGCTTCTTCCTGACGGACACCAGTTCCTCCTCTTCAAAGTTTCCAGTCCATTAGCCTGTTAAGCCCTGAGCCTGTTTTTCAGGTCTCAGGCTCGAAAATGACATTCCCAGAACAAATGACCATATCTTCCCTTCTAAAAGGGTTAATTAATAATCTTTTTTTCTCAAAGTAATGATAAACCTGTGAGTTGGATGTAGAAAAGTCAGAACAATATAGATGTCTTTTATTTTAAAGAAAATTCAGATTTTACATAGTAAAAAACTGTAAATTATAGTGTCCGTCCAAAGATTATTTTTTACTTATAGTGAAAACTACCCTTGGATGATGGTAAGGTAGACTAAAAGCTTTAGGAATCCAAAGTACAACATATAATAAGTACCCTGTATCAAGATTGATGCAAAACAAGTGACATTTGACCTTTTTAGAGAGGTTTAGCCAAACAAACTCCACCTCTGAGGTGATTTGGGTGGAAATGTTTTTTTTTTCCATATCTCTGGCCCCCCTTGCTCGATTTTGATGGTTGACACCTCTTTCTGACCGTTAGAGCCAATATAATCTAAAGGGGATTCCCCCAGACACACGTTGTAAAACAAAAAGGTGGGGGCTGCGCGCATGTAGTTTTGCATGAGAGTGAACCTATCTCTAGCTTTGACATCTGGAAACGGAAAAAGCAGTTTTAATGCTTATGGATTATCAGAAATCATTTCAAAGGGACACAGACACATGGATTAACCTATGGATTAACTTCAGCAGCGTTTTTATCGTTTTAATGCCATTGAAGACCACTTTTGAGCAGACTACAGAGACAAGGTAACCATGTTAGCATTATTAGCTACCTAGCGCCACATGTTTTGATGTCTGTTTTTGTTTATAACGTCGCAATTTTGTATAATTGAGTGATAATGAGGGTACCCTTCGATTCTGTGTCACCTCACGATGTGAATCGATGTCATGGATGTGCAGAAAAGATAAATAATAAGGTTTTGTGAGTGATTTTTGGTGCAGTAATCTGTTAGCATTTTTCGCTCGTTGCTAATTCAGAGGCTCATTGTTAGCATTGTGGGTTTTATTTTGAAAAAAAAAAAAAAAGATCAGTTAGATGAGTTTCTTCCCGTTACATGGATATAAAACATTCATAGTTTATTAAATGAACATGCCCTCAGACACTGTTTCCTGCAAGATGTTGCGGCAGTGCCCCGGTACCGGGTCTCTCGGGCTTAACAGGTTAGACAGACTCTTATTCTCTTGCAGATATCATATATCATGTATATCCATACAGATTGAGGTATAATCAATACTTTTTCCTGAAAATCAATGGAGTATTGTGAAAGGATAGAGTAACCTAACAAATCCAAACACGTCACCACATCATCACATTTATTCCAATAGTACTCTCTTCATGCTGTTCATGAGTCAAATGATACTGTACAACAAATGTCCGATTTAATGTGGGTTCGAAAGCCTGAGGAGGAAATCATGGTTTCAAAGAGTCAGCTGATAACCAGCTTTGTAGTTCCTGTTATATCTGATCAGGAGACAAGGCCTCCATTAGACTCTTTGTTTATTCCCATATCGAAGTGACATCTCTATGGAGCTAACCAATCAGAGCAGACTGGGCTCTGGTTTCAGACAGAGGGTGAAAAGAGGTGCTGCAGCACAGGCAGTATGAACATCTACAAATTCTGAACATTTTCAGAAAATCTCAAAATGTTTACTTTTTCTAAATTCGTTTTTTCTCTCCAAAAGAAACCCCAATCTATTGTGATTTTTTCCCCCCTGAATATTTCAACTTGACTTTACGGGGAATATCAACAGTTTGAGTTTTTCAA